AATATTAAGGAACTTTTCCTTAGACTTAAAGAATTTAAAATATATTTACATTAGAGTTTGAGGGTGTAGCCTAGTGGAAGAGCACATACTTAGCATGTGCAAAACCCTGAATTCAATCCCCAGCACCACAAGGGGGGAAAAAAAACCCAATTCTAACAGAAGTAATTTTTTTTCTGCTTTTGAAATCACCACAATGCAATAATAGTAGCAGCAGCAGCAGCAGCAGTAGTGTTAATGGCAAAAGTATTATTAACAGAAGCAGCCGATAATATTTATTAGGAATCTCACCCAATCACAGCTTTAATGAGATATTGCTTACCTTATTTATAGATGAGAAAAGACACTGAAAGGTTAATACATTTGCCATGGTTACATTATAGTCATATTAGCTCTAAACAAATAAAAAATTGTAAATTTATTCAGCTGGATACACAAAAATTTAATCTTTTTATCTTTCCCTGTTTTAGCTATTAGAAAAATTAAGAGAACGTTGGCTCCATACTGGTTTGTGGCATAATCTGGAGTTGGTGAAGACAGTCATTGTAGAACCACAAGGAGGAGAAAAAACTGATTTTGATGAATTGTTGCAGGTGTACTATGACTCAATCAAGTATAAAGGAGAGAAAGGTAACTAGAAATTATTTCATGGTCAATGAAAAAATATTTTTATTACTAAGTAAGAAGTTGGTATTAGAATTTCATTTCTATTATATTTTTAAATGAATTGCAGTTAGGAGAAAATTTATATTTTATTATCTTAGGTGAAAAGGAAAAAAGAAATTCTTTTGTTTGGAATTATCCTCCTACGATATTTTCACTTGTGTGTGCCAATTCCACTTTAAAAAACAGCATGCAATCAGGCAGTATTCCATGGTTTTCCTTACACTAACTGAAATATTTTGTGCAAGAAGGCAGTCAGGATATGTATAAATATTTCCTTACTAGCCAGATGGAACATATATTTTTATGCAAATAATGTACTTTTTGCTTATATTCTATTAAATAAGATACATTTTGAGTTTTCAAAACATAACTGAGGGGGCTGGGGTTGTGGCTCAGTGGTAGAGCACTCACTTAGTATGTGTGAGACCCTGGGTTCCATCCTCAACACCACATATAAATAAATATAATAAAGGTGTTGTATTCACCTTCAACTAAAAAAAAAAAAACCAAAACATAACTGAGGACTCAGTTTCCAGGCTTGAGAATTTCCATATAGTTTAATGTGAAGGACTAATAGCAATAATTTATGAACAATGCAGCAATGAAAATACTATAATTGTCAATATCTTTTAATGTTAACAGTACATATAGTGTTTTGAACACTTTTCAATATAATATTTATTCAGTCTCATAATTAGTACAAATAAGTTATTTAAATTGTTCTGAGAATTTTACTTTGTGGTGGTAAAAGGTAATGATTGAAACTTCAATTTTTAGTTCATACTTGCTCAGTTCATACACAATTGCTACTCTCGTATGGTTTTATTGCATAATTTATCTGGGAGATACAGTTTGTAAATTAGTTTACTACCATATTGCATCTAATTTTGTTTTGTTTGTATGTATGTATTTATTTGCAGTGTTGGGGATTGAACCAAGGTTCAATCACTGAGCTATCACTGAGCTACATTCGCAGACTTTATATTTATTTGTTTATGGTACTAGGGACTTAACCCAGGAGCATTCTAGCACTGAACTATACTCCTAGCCCTTTTTCATTTTGAAACAAGCCCTCACTAAGTTTCTGAGGCTGACTACAAACTTGAGGTCCTCCCATCTCAGCCTCCTGAGTAGGTGGTATTACAGACATGCACCACCACCCAGCTTATTTTCCTTATTTATTTAAGACAGTGAACTTTAACAGTATATCTCCTAAAATATGAATAATAATTAGTCTTTACAAAATGTCAAGAATAAGCCACTTCTGAGAATTTTGAATATGCTATTTAAAATGTTTATTTTCTGTTGATTAAGATGGAGCCCTGCTAATAGCAGTTTGTCGTGGTAAAGTGAGTGAGGGTCTGGATTTCTCAGATGACAATGCCCGTGCTGTCATAACAATAGGAATTCCTTTTCCAAATGTCAAAGATCTACAGGTAGGCCATCAAAGCTTTAAGAAGTATACATTTTTCTTGTATCCTCATTTTTATCTTTATGAAGAATCTGAAAAAGGTTTAGTAGAAAAATGTTTATTTTTAACCTGTACTATCTTTTGCTTGACAAATGTGGTTTTCAAATTGTGGTCCTAGCACCAGTATTACCAGGGAACTTGGTAAAAATACAGTTTTTTAGGCTCTATTTCAGAACTGCTGAATCAGAAATGCTTGATGTGGAGCCCCATAATTTCTGTTTTATAAGCTCTTAGCTCTAGACTCATAAATCTCATAAATCCCCCCAAGGAATTCTAAGGTCCTCTCTATAATGCACTGCCCTACTTATTCCACAATTTTAGCTGCCACCAAATTCTGATCTCTTTCACTTCACCCCAGTAGCACCATTGTACTCTGATTGTACTTAAGTGCTATATGCTGTGGCCAGGAAATTATACCCAAGCAGAGAGCTGAAAATAATGGCTAACAGAGGCTGGAAAGTTCCACAGTGGCCACTGAAAGGCTGGTTTCAAGACTCGGTCAAAGCTGGAAGCCTTAGAATTAGGAATATTGATGATCCAGTCTAAGGCCAAGAGCCTGAGAGGCTCCCAAAGACTTCTGTTGAAGTACAAGTCTCAGAATTCAAAGGTCAAAGTACCCTGCAGTCTGATATTTAAAGGCAGTAGTATCAGAAACCTGCCAGCTCTACAAGGAAGAACCATATAAAGTTTTCCCCCTGCAGCTTTTCCTCTTCCATCCTGGCTCTCAACTGGTTAGATAGTGCCTCTTTTGGTTTAAATATTAGGTGTCCCCCCAAAAGCTCATTCGTGAGATAATGCAAGGTTTAGAGGCAAAATGATTGAGTTATGAGAACCTTAACTCGATCAATTAATTAATCTCCTGAAAGAGATTAACCGAGTGGTAACTAAAGGTGGTGGGGTTTTGGCTAGAGGATGTGGGTCCCTGGGGGAGTGCCTTTGGGATATATATTTTGTATCTGGCAAATGGGAGTTCCAGCTGCTTTCCTCTGCTCCACCCTTCTGCCATGATGTTCTGCCTCATCTCAAGCCCTGAAGAATGAAGCCCGCTGTCTATGGACTGTGACCCTTCAAATAAACTTTTCCTCCCCAAAAATTGTTCTTGTCAGGTCTTTTTAGTCACAGCAGTGAAAAAGCTGACTAAAATAATGCTCATTCATGTTCAGATCTCGTTCTTCCCAGTCATTTTGCTGACCCACATACCAATCTTCTCTAGAAATACCCTCCCAAACACAAAGTAGTGATTTACCAATTCTTTAGGCATCTGTCAGACTAGTCAATACCCAAATTAATCATCACAGTTGATGTTATCTTTCATCAAGAAACATATTCTGTAATTTCTTGTAGACATTTGAAGGTACTAGCAATTTGAGACCAAAACTTAAGATATTTTGGCAGTGGGCAGCCTCCTGGGTACAACCAGTGAAGATGCCATACCAAAATAGAATTTCTTTCAGTAGGTTGGTTATCTTCTCTATTGTTAATACTTTTCTGGGTACTGTGAATTATATAATTTTATTTATTTATTTTCTCTAAGCCCTAGTAGTCTTTGAGTAACATTAACAATAAAAAGACTATTTGCCATGACTCCTCTGTACCCTCTGGGCCTCTTTAGAACTTTAGAAAGTCCCACCTGAGAATTCATAATGTACATTTCAGCCTCTACTGGCTTTGGTAGCTTCTATTACCTTTCTCCAACTACTTGTGCTACCACTGAGGGCACTGATGCCCACATGCTGGGCTATGACTTCTATTCTAAAATGGCTTATTTTGCCTTCACTGCTACTGGTGAAACAGTTCGCATCTACTCTAGAAAACTGTTGCTTCAACAACATTCATTAGTGCTGCATGTCACACTAGTGCTATTGATAGTACTGCTATTGACACTGATACTGTTGTTTTCTGATGTCTTATCATTTTACTCTGTGACTGCATTATTGCATTATTGCTGCTTTGTTTAAGTGGGAGAATCCTTTTTCCTCTTTATACCACAAGTTATTCCAATATCTTTTTTTTTGCTTTTTAAAAATTTTTTAATTGATTTTTTAAAAAAATAAATGATGCATTACAATTCTTATTACACATATATGGCACAATTTTTCATATCTCTGGTTGTATACAAAGTATGTTCACACCAATGTGATGTCCATCACATTCCACCATCCTTGCTAACCCCATGCCCTCTACCTTCCCCTCCCACCCCCTGCCCTATCTAGAATTTGTCTATTCCTCCCATGTTCCCCTTCCCTACCCCACTATAAATCAGCCTCCTTATATCTGAGAAAACATTCAGCATTTGTTTTTTGGGGATTGGCTAACTTCACTTAACATTATCTTCTCCAACACCATTCATTTACCTGCAAATGCCATGATTTTATTCTCTTTTATTGATGAGTAATATTCCATGTGTATACATGCCACATTTTTTTTAATCCATTTCTCTACTGAAGAGCATCTAAGGTTGGTTTCACAGTTTAGCTATTGTGAACTGTGTTCCAATATCTTAAATAGATACATTTTTTCCTCTGGAATTAGTTTTTGCATTTTTGCTAATCCTTCTACTTCTCAAACCTATGTGAGTTCTTGAGAGCTGGAAAAGAGTATAAGCTTTATGACTGATAATAGACTGTCAAATATTACTGACTAATATTACACTTACAAAATAGTGAAGCTTGGAAAGATTCACATCAAGCTTACAGTACTGATTACATCTAAAGATACGAGGTAAGGATGATACTGGAAATAGTTATCAAAGGGGACTTTAACTTTTTCCATAATTTTTAATTAAAAATAAAAGTTTTAAGAAAATATGATGAGAATATTTATTATGTTATTCTTTTTTTAAATAAAAATTCTTAAAATTAAAAGGTGTATTTATGAATATGGCATTTTACCTTCCATTTTCTCTACTTTTACCTTATGATAAGGGAAATTGCCCAATTTTCCCATGGTAGAATAAATTGCCCACCTTATGGCAGCCAAAAAAAAAACACAAAAACACTAGTGACCTGCTCTGACAGTTCTGTCATGATCCTACTTGTCGTTTCTGTTTATCCAAATCCCAGTGGCTCAATTGCATAAAATCACAAAGCAAAAGTGTCACTGGATTCTGGATAGAGAAAAAGAGGGTGGTTCTAAAGGTTTTCCCCTAGTGCTTCCCAAAAGGTGCAAATGTGGTGGACCCAAGAATAGTCCAAGCTGTAGCATCCAGGGACAGGAAGAGAGAAATGCAAGGGAAGTGTATTTCTTATTGCCATATGTCTAGACTCATCCTTCCTGTGTAACAGTTCTAAAATTCAGTGACTTAAAACAACAATCATTTGTTACAGATCACACATTTACGGAGTGGCTAGGCAGAACATGTTACTGATAATATTTATTTGTATGCACCTATGGGATAGAAGAGAAATAAAAAAAACTTTCATGTTTTAATAAAGTCCAGTTTATCTTTTTGTTTGTTAACTAAGTTTTTGGTATCATACTTAGAAACCATAGGCAAATGCAAGGTTATGAAATTCACCTCTAATGTTTTCTTTGAAGAGTTTTATAGTTTTATCTCTAGTTACTGATGGGGAAAGACTTCTGCCATTTAGCAGTTTTCTGTATGTCATATGCTTTTTGTTCCTCAATTCCATCATTACCTTTTTTTGTATTTAGTTGATTTGTGGTATAATACAGACTGAATATATATTATCCAAAATGCTTGGGACCAGAGTGTTTCAGATTTGGGAGTTTTTCAAATTTTGGATTATTTGCATGGGCTTTACTGGTTGTGTTATTAAAGAGAATGGCTTTACTGCTTATCACTCCACTGAAAACTTAGGAGGTAGGTGAGAAAATAGGTTTATTCAGAGTCACCTTTGAGGAAGACAGAGGAGAATTTCCTGTCTCAAATCTCTATCTTAATGGAGATCAAGGGGGTAGAAAGCTTTTGTTTTATTTAATTTGTGTGTTTGTTTATTTATTTTGCAGTACTGGGGATCAAACCCAGGTCCTTGCATATGCTAGGCAAGCACTCTACAACAGAGCTACATCCCTAACCCTTTTTTATTTTGCCCAGGCTTGAACTTGAGATTCCACTGCCTCAGCCTTCCAAGTAGCTGGGATTCCAGGCCTGCACCAAGGCCCCCAGCTTAGAAAGCTTTTATAAGAGAAGGCAGAGTTGGACAAAAGACAGGAAATATACATTTGTAGATTTAATCTGTGTTAATCAGAAATACGTCAGTCTCAGTTTCCCTAGTGTCAGTCAGGCTTGTAGACAGCCCTTCAGCCTTTACTCTTGTTATGGGGAAATACAGGATGCAGAAAAAGTTATCAAGAAGGTTCCCTTAATTTTAAAGGGAGTCTTTTTCAGTTGAACACCCCTAATCCAAAATCTGAAATAAAAAATTCTCCAAACTTCAAAACTTTTTGAGTTTCATGTCAGTAGTCAAAACGTTCAGATTTCAGATTTTCACATTAGGGATTTTCAACCTGTGTTTTGATTCTCTTCTTTTTATGTTATCTTTTTAGTTTTTTTTTTTTTTTTGAGAGTTTATGTTTTGGGTTAAAACTATTATCTTAAATCTTCATTCTTCCTCTTTTATATTGCCACAGATTGTATCTTTATACATTGTATACAAGTTAATATATAATTATTGTTAAAAATGATATCTATTTTTTCTATATTATCTTAATCAATGGTTGAATGGAGGTTTGATATAAGCTTAAGATTACATTTGGTTTTGTTGTTTTTAAAAAACAACTCTTTGTTCCTAGACTTCATTAAGGCACAGAAATAATAGTAATTATTAAATGATAATGAACAGAATGGTAATAAACATTAAAGTGACTCATAAAAGGGCAATCAGAACTAGGCACAGTGGAGCACTCCTATAACCCCAGTGGCTTGGGAGGCTGAGGCAGGAGAATAGCAAGTTCAAAACCAGCCTCAGCAATGGTGAGGCACTAAGCAACTCGGTGAGGCAC